GAGATATTACTGTTAGCCCTGGTTACAAAGAGGCTGTATTCTCAGAAGAGCTCCATAATTATCTTGCATAAGATTTGATAGAACTTTCATAGGTAGTGCCAAGAAATGGTCCTGGTCCTTGGACTCCAAACTGTGAATTACCATGTTTTCTGCATTCTTTGTATGGAGAAGAGACTTGGGCACCTATATTGTCAATTCACTTGTGCTAATTTACTCTATATAATTATTAAATACATTTTTGGTAAAATAATGATGGCTTTAGATGCAAACAGGTTATTGGGTTATAAGTATTACAGTCAGGTCTTCAACCAAGTTATTAAGTGACATTTGTAAAAATAGGTATAAAATCATTGTCTATAACCTCACTGAGGTCTCAGCTTTCTGAGGTTTTAGAAGCTCCAACCCCACCTTGCAACCCATGAAGGCAGATGTGAGGGTTTTGCAAAGGCAGGATCTTGTTACTAGGTAGTGGGTGTTAAACAACCCCTACCCTCTAAATCCGAGGCTGAAAACAGGCCTGCCAAACCCCAGCCCTGAACAAGGGCCACTCTACTTACGTTGAAGGTTAGGGAACATCTCTAGCCCACAAATTTGAATTCCACCCATTTTTAGCTTTCACTATGCTAGTGAACAAGCTACTAATTTCACTCATAAACACGAATTTCTCACTTTAATTACACTAATCGCAAAGTTTCAGGGTCTGCTGGAATCAAAGGGAACCAAGGTCCTAGAAGAAGCCAACAGAATGTGGAGTTTTTGAGTAAATTCTAGCAGACCACTCCTTGAGTGTCTATGCCCAGTTAGATTGTTTGTCTGTCCTGGGATTTCAGAAGCACACAGCTGCATTATATTGTCTATGCTCTATTTTAAAGTAAATCATAGCCATCATAAGTGACTGTTAACGATTCTGAGAAGCCAGTAGGAGGGCAGGTGTTACATACTGTGGACTTAGGGCTCCACCTGGAGGGTCACCTGAGGCAAGCAAAAGATTGCCAAGCCCCCTCAGTACTCTAGTATTTCTTTGACTTTGGAAAATGAAGTTTGGAAGTTCTTAGTGTTTTTTCCATTGAGGCAGTTTATTTTAGAAAGGACTTTCCAGTGGATTTAATGAATATGCATTTTCTCTGAATCTGGAATCAGGTGCACTTTATCTGAGATGTGGAAAAAATTCTGATCTTTGTCTTCAAAGAAAGCAATAAACATTGGTTGGTTTAAACAAGACATCATTTAACGATACCGAGCCCAGACTCTTGCCAAATTTGGATGAGTGGGATTTGCAGCCCATTTCCATTTACCTGGTGTAGTTACTGGTGCCTTTGAGCCCATCAGGTCACCCTGCATGAAGGTAAGTCTTATTGTAGAGAGTTTTCAGAAATCTTTTTTTTTTTTTTTTTAGGACTTTGTTGTTTTGTTATAATTATTGACTAGCTTTACAAAAGCTTAGGACTTCTGAAGAATGACTGTGACTCAGTAATGCAGAATGGCTTATCTCTTTAAGTACTTCTACCCTCAGTAGGTGCGGAACCACTGCTGCTCCTTGAAGCAGGTGGACTTCAGTGCCAGAAAACACTTTCAGAGTTTACAGAAAAAACGGGACTAGGGCCCACATAACTTTCAGGAAGGGGAGACTCTTTCCTGTTTATATCTCCCAGTATTTAGATTTTAAAAAAAAATACTTGAAAGGAATCATCTTAAGTACACCGGGACCCCAAAGTTTGATTTTTAACCAGAAAACTAGCCTTAAAAAACTCTCAGTTTAACAGATTAGGGACATGATATTTATATATCATTCTATGATACATTATGGTAATTCAGTACATGTATGTAATGTGTAGTAATCAAATCGGGATATTAAGCATTTCCATCTCTTCAAACACTGGTCATTTTTATATGCTGGAATTTTATATACTTGTTATTATTTATGACTCAAAGGTAAAGGCAGTATTTTTTGGTACTGCAAAAATGTACTGTCAAACGTTCATCTCAGATTTTTAAACATTGTTTTCTAATGTAACAGAAAATGCTCCCAGCCAGTCTGTTAGTTGCTTAGGTAACAGTCCCAGTTACAAGTTCCTGTTGCTTCTTTCTCCTAGAAACTGCTGATCACTGTGATGCATACTGTAGGATCCAATTAAAGACAGCTGAGTGCTCTGCTTTTGTACTTCCTGCTTGCTTATCCCGTATAAGCCTCAAACCACCAGAGATCAGGGTCTGATATTTTGGGAACAATCCCAATTAGTGCCCATAGATGTAAATAAATCTGCCTCCAAATCCTGGGTGTCGGTCATGGTGTTTCTGTTTGCTGTTGCACTGACAGCTGTCCCTTGTTCAAAAAGTATGCCTTGAAAAGAACAGATAGAACTTTTGAGTTCTATAAAGAAAGAGCTGACAACATACCAGCTCATCCACCATGGGACACTTGAAGGTAAAGTGTTTAGGAGAAAGGGACAGGCTTATGTGAGGGACCAAAAATGGTTCTTGAAAAATGCTATAGAGATAGGCCCAGTCACGTGTATCTGTGATTAGCAGACACAAATAGAGACAGGTTCTTCTGACCTGTTTGAGTAAACTGTAGGATAAACTTGTGCTTTCTGGGAGGCATGGGGAATCCATTTTTTCTTAAAGATGAGCTTATTGTTGCTGCTAATTGCATTATGGCCCTGTGAAATAAGCTTCTCACATGTTTAATGACTGGATTAATGAATAAATGACTTACAGAATCAGTTATTTGTCTTTTAGCTTCCTTTATATCATATTGCCTTCTTTCACCACCTCAACTATTCTAAAGTGTTTTATGTTTCGGTGGAGCAGTGATTTTCAACCATATTTCAGTCCCACTAGCTTCCGCCTACTTTCCACTACCACCCCACCCCCAAGCCAAAAGAGACAGAAGGAAAGCTCTGCTGCTTCCATGAATATTATCCACAAATCTTTGGCCAGAGGAAGAAGGAGGTGCCACAGACAATTTGACTCTCATGTTAGCGTTGCCACATGTCTCTTTGTTGGTTTGTTTAGTTCAGTAGTAACTTTCTATGGAGTAGGCAAGCTTTAACCTAGCTTTACTTAATTTTGAATGTTAAGTTCCAGGCATTAAAATTTTCTGTAATTCTTAATGACGTGTGAGTAGAAGTTACAGATAATTGCTTTACCCAAACAAAGTTGAGCGTAATGGTTTTAAGGACAGAAAAGTCTGACATGCCTCTTTACTTCATTCTAAAGAAAGAAAAACACTGTTAATGGTGATCAAAAATAAAAATTAAAGACATTCATGATTATAAGTATCAGTTGTGAGAAGTTCCACGTTCCCCTTTCCTACTGTGGTTCTTCTCCATGCCCACAATAAAGGCACTTTATTCTGTCTTTAAGAAAAAAAAAAAGTATCAGTTGCATTAAGTACCAGATTGTGACAAAGACTAATTGTAGTCTAGAAGAACATAGCGGGCCAGAAGTGTTGACAGAAAAGGAATCCTCATTGTTGCTTATGACTAGAGGGAAAATATATGTTACTTCACTGATCTTAGATGGGAATGTGGCAAGGGAAGGGATCCCCAGTTCATGGATAGTCATGAGTGTTTTTCAGCACTCTGCCAGCAATGCAGGGCACAGGATGAATGGCTGTGCTTCTAGATCTCACGGACAAAACCTTAATTTTCTACTTTCCTTGGAGGAATTTTGAAATGAATTCCCAAGAATCATCATACGGTCATATGGTGGTGTTTTAACATTCTGATCTAAGCCTTTAAAACTGTCAAAAATTGAAACCAGTGAAACTGATGCCTTGTACCCGGTTTGCTTTATTATGTATTAATTTACATGTCATTGAAACAAAGCACACTGTGAACTTGAAACAGGAAAATGGAGCTGACCACTGTATTTGGGAAATCTCTGAGGAGAACTCAAATTAAGCTCATAATTTACTGCTGGAATTCTTTGAGGTTAACCAGAGTCTCTTCATAGGAAAAAAATCATGCTACAGTTTGAAAATTAATCTTATTTGTGCCAAATGACAAAGTGGCTAGATAACTGGCGGAAAATATGATGGATTTAACAACATTAAGACAATATAGGGGCTGGAGGTTTAGCTCAGTGGCACAGCGCCTGCCCGGCAAGTGCAAGGTCTTGAGTTCGATCCCCAGTACTGGAGAGGAAGAAAAAAAAAAAAGTATAATTTTCTTATTTAACCACAAATTGGAAATAGCATATAAAAGCATTTTATTTTATTTTTTTTTGTTACCAGGGACCGAACACATGGCCTTCCACTTGCCAGGCAGATTCTTATGCCACTGAGCTATATCCCCGGCCCCATAAAAACATCTTAGAAACTAGAGGAGAGGTGCTATTGCCTATTAGCTTTTCAAAGCAACACTCAATTAAAGAGGAGAATTATTCTGATACAGTCCCAGAGAACAGAACAGCATAGTCAGTGGCTTCGTTTATGGTGTCCATAATGCACATGGTCAATTATAGCCATGGCAATGAGACATTGTAGCCTGTGAAGGGCTTCTGAAGGGATCTAGTGTAGCCTAATATTTTATTATGGAAAAATTTCCCAAAAAGTTTCCCGTTTCCAGAATAATTGCATTACATCTGACAAAAAATCATGTTTTAAAAGTTTTTTCATACAAAAGGACCTTATTTTTATAGTTGTGGACACATAAATTGTACTAGTACAAAGTGTGTGGTAGTTTGATGTGAAATATTTTGGAAGACTGATACATTAACTATATAACCACTTCCACATAAGTACAAAAAATTTAAAAATTGAACTAGTGCCCATTTAACACCCAATAAATGGGTAGAATTTGTAAATTTGAGAGAGTTAAGCCTCCATTACCTCAACAAAATGAATATTTAATGGCTTATTAGAAGGAAAATTCTATTCAAAAGAAAGGAACCTTTTCTTTATTTTCCATCCTGTTAGTTTTGAGTGAATTTCTCAACATTCAGAGCCATAAGAGATGTAGTATCTAACTCTGACTTTTGTTTTCTCTTTGTTCTAGAAGCCTCCCCAGCTTTCCGAGGATGATATCCAACTAAAAAGCAAGAGAGACAACGGTAGTCATCTCCTGGAGTCTGCTACCTGCTCTATTCCCCCAGATCACAAAAACATGGAAATTGAGGTGTCTGTTACAGAATGCAGTAAAAGTGTTCCTGGAATCACTTCCACTCCCCATTCCATGGACCACATTTCCCCTTTCTATTCACCCCCGCACAATGGCCTCCTCACCCATCACCATGAATCTCTGGATAACGATGTGGCCAGGGAGATCCGATATCTAGACGAGGTGCTGGAGGCCAACTGCTGTGATTCTGCTGTGGATGGAACTTACAACGGAACATCCTCCCCAGAGCCCGGTGCAGAGATCCTGGTGGGCAGCATAAGCCCACCTGCCCACATAACTACCCAGCCTGATTCCACTGAGAGAGTAGTGGCCAGGCAGGCTCCTCCTCACATCGAGCTCAGTAGAAGCCCCTCTGACACCATGGCAGAGGAGGAGAGGGCAAACGGCCCCTCCCCTGACCAGCTCCGAGATACACTGGGGGACAGCCTGCAGGCCCCCGTGAGCCCCACCTCCTCCACCAGCTCTCGCTGTTCTTCCCGAGATGGAGAGTTCACACTCACCACGCTGAAGAAAGAGGCCAAGTTTGAGCTTCGTGCCTTCCATGAGGACAAGAAGCCATCCAAGCTCTTTGAGGAGGATGAACGTGAGAAGGAACAGTACTGTGTCCGCAAAGTGAGGCCTTCAGAAGAGATGCTCGAGCTGGAAAAGGAGAGGAGGGAGCTCATCCGGAGTCAGGCTGTGAAGAAGAATCCTGGCATTGCAGCAAAGTGGTGGAATCCTCCCCAGGAGAAAACCATTGAGGAGCAGCTGGACGAGGAACATCTGGAGTCACATAAAAAGTACAAGGAGCGCAAGGAGAGAAGGGCGCAGCAGGAGCAGCTGCTGTTACAGCAGCAACTACAACAGCAGCAGCAGCAGCAGCAACCACCACCACCCCCAGCACAGCTCTGCACAACACCAGCTTCCTCTCATGAATGTCCCAGTGGGACTGAAAATGCAAAGGAGGACATCGTCACAGAGCAGATCGACTTCTTAGCAGCACGCAAACAGTTCCAGCTGATGGAGAATACGAGGCAAGCAGTGGCCAAGGGCCAGAGTACACCTCGCCTCTTCTCTATTAAGCCTTTCTACAGGCCTTTGGGGTCCCTCAACTCAGACAAGCCAACAACCATCCTGAGACCAGCTTCTATTGTGGGACCTCCGGAAGACAGTGGTGCATCGGCAGCCAAGGGGCAGAAAGCACCCTTTGTGCCAGAGACCCAGTCAGGTGGAGGAGGCCTAGGCAGTGCCACCCCTCAGGGAAAGGAAGGGCCTTACAGTGAGCCCTCCAAGCGTGGGCCCTTATCGAAACTGTGGGCAGAGGACGGAGAGTTTACGAGTGCCCGTGCTGTCCTCACTGTGGTCAAAGATGATGACCATGGGATTTTGGATCAGTTTTCAAGATCGGTCAATGTCTCTTTGACCCAAGAGGAACTTGACTCAGGTTTGGATGAGTTGTCGGTTAGGTCCCAGGATACCACTGTCCTGGAGACCTTGTCCAATGATTTCAGCATGGACAACATCAGCGACAGCGGTGCCTCCAATGAGACAACCAATGCCCTCCAGGAAAACTCCCTGGCTGATTTCTCTCTGCCTCAGACTCCACAAACGGATAACCCTTCTGAGGGCCGAGAAGCAGTCTCCAAGTCATTTAGTGATCATGGTTTCTATTCCCCTTCCTCTACCCTGGGAGATTCTCCATCTGTGGATGACTCCTTAGAGTATCAGGCTGGTCTTCTGGTGCAGAATGCCATTCAACAAGCCATAGCCGAGCAGGTGGACAAGGCTGTGCCCCAAACCAGCAAGGATGGAGCAGAAGGGCAGGGGCCAGAAGTGACTCTGGAGGGCACTGAAGCCAGGGCCCCCAGCTCAGAGAAGCCACAGAGCACCTTTGAGCCTCCTCAGGTGTCCTCTCCTGTTCAAGAGAAAAGAGATGTATTACCAAAGAATCTACCTGCAGAGAATAAGGTGCTCAGGGAAAGGGGGCCCTCCCAACTGCCGCCAGCTGTGCAGTCCAGCGGCCCGATCGACATGGAGGAGACCAGGCCTGAAGGGGGCTATTTCAGCAAGTACTCCGAGGCGGCTGAGCTGAGAAGCACGGCCTCCCTGCTGGCCACTCAAGAATCTGACGTGATGGTTGGGCCTTTCAAGCTGAGGTCAAGGAAGCAGCGGACTTTGTCCATGATCGAGGAAGAAATTCGAGCTGCCCAGGAGCGGGAAGAGGAGCTGAAGCGGCAGAGGCAAGTGCTGCAGAGCACCCCGAGCCCCAGGACCAAGAATGCCCCGTCTCTCCCCTCCAGAACCTCCTGCTACAAAACTGCTCCAGGTAAGTAGCGGCCTCATCTCACATGCAGGAGGTGGAAACCTGATTCCTGCTCATGGGTCTCTGTGTGGAGCGCCACTGTGGCAGTGGCAGGGGGCACTGGCCGAGGACTTCACCAAGAGCGTCAAGTGTTCAGGGTCCCCGGAAGCGTGTGAGCCGGGATGGCGCCTGTCACTTCCCAGCAGATGCAGCAGTTCCTTGCTTCTCATTCTGTCTTGGTGTAGATCTGAGCTCATGACACAAAGTGTTCTCTTTTATAAGGAAAGCTGCCTCTTGGCTGAGGGAGAAGCTTTGTGTGGTACCAGCCTGCTGGAGTGGGCTCATGTGTGTACTGTGCCGAAGTCAGGAGCTTGACCCTTAGTATCTGGGATGAAACACGCCCATCTGACTGGGGGGCTGTGTTCCACTAACTCCTTTGGGATGCTGGGTCCCTTTCTAGGGATGGTAGTTGTGACTCAGTGTTGCTGATTGTCCTATGGACTGGGTGATTGAGTTTGTCTCCTTTAAGTCACCACAAACCAATTACAGCCATTTACCTTATAATGGTGTTTCAGTCAAGACAGAGTGCATATACAATGGTGGTCCTATAAGATTAAATCACCTACCGACATCAGAGGCATCTCACTGTGTGTAAGTGCACTTTATGGTGTTTATACAGTGATGAAATTTCCTAACAATGCATTTCTTAGAATGTGTCCCCAACCTTGAGCAAAGCATACTGTACTCCTTTCCTAGAGATAATTTAAGCAGTGCTGCCTGAAAGCTTAATTGTTGGAATTTACCTTGGCCCATCCAGATCTTCATTCCATCTTTGACACATGGCTTCCATAAAATCTACAGTGACACAGGTCATTCTTCATTATTAGGATTTAAATTTTGGAACAATCTCAAGCCTATAGAAAAGTTCCCATGTAAAATATATATATGCTTTTATTCTGAACCATTTGAGAGTAAATTAGTAATACAGTGCCCCATCATCCTCAGTTTTATAGAATGCCCTCAGCTTGGGTCTGTCCAGTGCTTTCATTTGATTGCCTTCAAATTATGTTTTCAGATCATCGCAGAAGATATTTTTGTTTTTTCCACTGTATTTCCTAATGGAATCCCTCATAGTATTGCCCCCAATTTACTTCTAGCACACAAGCAGTAGTCTAATATAAAGACATTTTAATGCTTTCCCTTATTTTCCCTACATGCTGTTGTCTGTCTGCCTTATTCACCAGGGTTAAGGGGCCTTACATGGAGCCAGGGTCCCAGTGTTTTCTCCTGGCATCCCGCAACCTGGTACCGATTTTCCCAGAACTTCTCTCTTTGCCAGTGCTGTCCTCCTTTCCCTCATCCCACCCAGAAGAATGATTTTTTTCCTGTATAACATTTAAAGGAGATGACATGAATTCCCAGATGTATGACAAGGATAGAAAGAAGCTGAAACTTTCTTTCTGTCCATGCCTGGAAACCTTTGGCTTATTGCTTGGCCAGCTAACCTCCAAGTTCATGATCAAGGAGGAAGCTGACACATTACTCTGAGGCAGCCAAACTGAACAATTCATGGCCAGGGCCAGAACTGCTGGCTGCAGCTTTGGTTTTGTGAATGAGATATTACTAAGTCCTTGCTGCACTACTTTGAATTTCCTGCCAGAAGAAGTGACTCAGCTGGTTTGCTGTGTGACTCAGACTGATGATTTAATATTGTGTGATGAAAAAATAGAATTTCTGACATCTTCTCTGGTAGAAATCATGCTGGTGACATCCTGGAATCCTAATACCTCGAGGTAAATATCCACTGAGAGGAAGAAGTGATAAGAAAGATGATGTCATAATTTTTCCCGTTGATATCTAGACATAGAGCCCATTTCCTGGGTATTGGAAAGATATTTGTTTTTGCTTGTAGTGTTTTTCTCCATTAAAGATGAAATGATAGGAGTTCTCTTTTGAAAATGGTATAGTCATTTTCAAAAACCCATTATCTGGAAATTCTGCCTTCTTGGTTCTTATGTGATTTTTGAAGGAAGAGGTTCCACTTAGAATTTGAGTGACATTTGTTTGTACAGGGATGAACAAGTGCCCAGTCCCTGTGAAATGATATTAATAAACATGACGGTTTTATGGCAGAAACATGGAGACCCTCGGGAGCACTGAATAGGAAGACCATCTTACTTATAGGACAGAGAAAGTCTTCTTTTCTTGGGAAACTGCCATCAAAACTGTGAACTGGAGGAGAAGTTGGGCTGAGAATGTGAGGATGGTGGTGCCAGTGGGGAATCCTAGAGAGATGCAAAAGGAACAGAGAACTTAGTGTACTTGAGGCCTTTAAAAAAGGCCAGAGTAGGTGAAATGACATTTAAACAAAAGAAAGGATGATATGGAGACAGACAGCAAAGAACCACATCATTCATGTTTACCCTGTGGTCAGCTGGAAAACACTGAGAGCTTTCCTAAAGCTAATTTTCTTTACATATTTCTGAGCTGACCTGCCTTCACTCATGAATTGATGGCCCCAAAGCATTCTTGGTTTAATGGGTCCATTACATAGAATTGGGTTGATCTCTTTCTATAGGCAGGCCCTTCTGAAGACATGCCGCCATCTTAAAAACTTCTTCACGTGCGCGCCCTCTGCTGACCGTTCGTAGAAGTGGGGAATAAGGCCGCACCGTGGCAGGCGCAGGAGCCTGTTAAAGGGGAAACCCGCATACTGCTGTAAAACCCCTTTGAGGAGAGAACTGGGAGGAGAGGGAATATCCAAACATTTTTTTAAATTGAAATTATAGTTTAAGACCGTTTCAAATATCTTTTCATGTTAGGGTTGCCAGCAGACCATTTTCCCCTTGGTGCCTGTGTGTATTCTTAGATATCCTGGTTTCACTTCCCCGTTCTGAGTGTGCCCCTGAAACTCCGTTAGGTCATGATTAGCTTTGCTTCTTGAAATAGTTTCTGTTTTCGTGTTAGTTGTTGGATTGTAAGCAGATGGTCTACCGTGAGTGCTCTGTGAGTTCTTTCTGAAAGTTCTTTTCCCAGGAAGCTCAGCCATTTATTCCTCAAATGGGTTCATGCCCTGAAATCTTTGAAAGAACTGGGTATGCAAGCAAGGCGTCAATTTCTCAATTTGAGGGCAGACAAAGATGAATGTTCACTCCATCAACTGAACACAAGTGTGTTTGGTATGGCGAGGTCAAAGGCAACAGAATTAGTCAAGTATTACTCACTGAGCATCATGACTACCTTCTGTTCTCTTCTCCTTTCCAAGATCCTGCCTGTATTCTCTTATTTGAACCCAGCAAATATGTACCTTTAAAAAGTACACACCATTTGGAAAGGGATTTATCGGCAAAGCCTACACTGAACCTGTGTTAGGAAAAAGATCAGGGTAAATAATGAAAAGGGTGGGGGGAGTGCTGGGGATTTATCTCAGTGGCACTGCACCTGCCTGGCAAGTGCAAGGTTGTGAGTTCGATTCCTGGTACCGGAGAAAAAGCAAAACAAAACAAAACAAAAAATTAATGAAAACAGGGCTTCTTAAAAATGCATGGTTGCCTTTGGAAACTACCTTCAGAGGGTTAAAAAGGGCAATTGTCATGGTCAAACCTCTTTATCAGCCTTACTCCTGAGAAGACAGGGGCTTTCCTCTGTGAGATGAAGAAGAAGGCTTTTGCTTTTGGGCAGTAGGACTTTGGAAAAAGCAGACTCCCTCCCCCCATCAAATTAATTCTCTGCCATGTAAGCAGGTTCTGCCGTTACTGCTAATTGTTCTGGCCTTTTTGGTAGATCTGGGGTGGCTCCTGCTGGCATCCATGTCTTGCTGGGGCCATGGCATGTGTCCTTCCTTCTGTATAGCTACTCCATACTCCAAGTTATGAGAGTGCCTTCAGAATAATCAGACTCAGCCACATACAAAGAAAATACATACTCTTGGGCTAACAAAGAGGAAGTGAATCAAAGGGCCTAATTCTTGTAAGATCCCTGGTAAGAAAGGGAGCTAATCAAAGCCAGACTTGGGGGCAGGATGTCCCCTATGACTGCTGGAGCCAGGGCAGGATATGAATGCTTCCCTTGCTAGCCAGCTACTCACTGTGAACTTCCCAAGTAGGCTGGCCTTTCAGATCTATTTGATCTCTATGAATAAGCCTCTATTTAGGAGGTGGAAGATTGGGGTAGGAGTGGAGGTGGAGAAGGTACTGCATGCTGGTCAGAACACAAGAACCCCAAAGAATACATTTGTAGTTTGTCAATGATATTTTATTTCTCATAGCCTTAATAAACTAAAGTTTGCCAAACACTTGTATGTATCTAACACCAGGGGTATAACCAGTCTCTCTTTCATTTCCCATTAGTCAAATATAAATTCACACTTTGGGTAAGAAAGCTGGTCAAGGAAATAGTTGCTTAAGTGTGACAGTTACTTCCCTGGATTCACATCTAGAGTTAAGTTCTGGACTTATCACTCGCTGAGTCTGTGACTAGCATACTTACCTCTGTAGGCCTCAGTTTCCTCACCAGTAAAATGGGAATAAAATACTATGAGCCTCACACACACAAAAAAACTTTAGACAGTGTGTGGTACATAAAATATTTTTAATAAGAGTGGTTATTGGTATTATTACAATTGCTGTCAGGTTTTAGTGAAAATCCTGGAAAGCATTAGCAGAATTACTTAAGAGTTATTCTCCCATAGCAGCTGTGAATCTGAAATATATAACAGAATATGTATCATAAAATTACTTTCTATTCCTAGTTAGTTTTTCAGTGACTTCTATAGAATTAAAATTTCTCTTACAAAACCTAGGTTCAGGGATAAGTTTTTGGGTTGTTTTTTTTTTTTGTCTTTTTGAGGCAGGGTCTAGCTATGCATTTCAGGCTGGCCTTGAGCTCACTTTGTAGCCCAGGCTGGTCTGGAACTCACAATGATCCTCCTGCCTCAGCCTCCCAAGTGCTGGGATTACAGGCATGCGCCACCATGCCTGGCTGAAGAATAAGTTTTTAATACTAAGCTATGATTTAAAAAAACA